GGGAGGAGTCCGTCGACCTGCAGCTCGACCGGGAGCAGTCCGTCGACCTGCAGTTCGACCGGGAGGTCGACGGAGGAGTCCGTCGACCTGACAAGTGAGCAGCGGTCGACGAGGGGAGCTCCGCGACAACCGCTGACGGTTCTGGTCGACGGTTCTGGGCGCACTCACCCGCTACTTAACAAGCCCTTTTATCCCAGTGGTTAGTGGCTGGGATTCTGACAACGCGAACGTCTCAAGGTCGCAATGGTGCAGGCGACTTCGGGCTGGTATCCCGAAGTCGATGTGGCTCGTCAGGCGCAGACAACAGCCGACGGATGCCCAATTAGGCAAATCGGGCCAATCGTCTGCGCGCACCTGCGAGCGTGCGCACTGCTGTGTTCTACGCGGCAACGCTGGACAGCCGCTCTGTTGCAGCGTTGGTACGCTGTCGACCTGCTCTGTTGGCAGGTCGCCCTTCTGCAGTGCTGGCGCGACTCCTCTACGCAACGTTGGAAGGCGGTCGACCGAGCTGTGCTGGCGGTCAACCAGGCTAGCTGCAGGGTTGCTAGGTGCCTGATGTAGTCATTCTGTCATTGCTTGTTCAATCATTCCGTAATTTCGACTTTGCCTAGTGGAAACTCTTGCCGATTTCTCCCATGAATGTGCAAGCACTAAGGAACTAAGCAAAGCTACGATCACTCCTAGTAGTTCGTGCCAACCCCTGTAGTCTAGCTCACTACCGTTGTAGAGTGACTCTCCACATGGTGCGGTGAGCGTGGACGGCCCCGCAGATTACCTTCAGATAGGAGCCGACTTTTGCACCTACTAAGTCATTCGTAGGCCGGTAGCAGCGATTGTCATCATGGTCGACCCCGTAGCTGATGCGGGTGTAGCGGACACCTTAGAGACTCGCTTGGCTGATGCAAGGAAACGCCACGCGGATGGCAAGTACGGGACGATCCCCTTGCTGATTGTCGAATTGGGCATCCGGTCGCGGTGGGCGATGGAACACCCTTCCCGTCCTGCATCTCCTCGAACGGTACGCAACGAAGGTGGCGTCGACGACGAGGTCGACGGTGGTGCACGAGTCAGCGGCAGTGAAGGCACGAGGCTGAGAGGGGTGATCAAGGTCGACGGTGGTGTCAACGGAATCCAGGCGCAAGTGCAGCGGTCGACGGCGGCTGCAGGCGGCTCACGTCCTGACGTCGATGTTCGACGTCGCTCTCCTCTACGAAGCGTTGGAGGGCTCTCGGCGACGACGCAGGTGACGGCGGGCGGGATTGCACCGGCGTATGGCTACTTCAAGTTCTCGCCGGATCGGATCACTGTCGCACCGCTGCAAGGTCGATGGGACCTGATCACCTGGAGGGAGTCGATAGAACGTCAGCTGAAGGTCGCCGGGCTGAAGGGCTTCGCCGATGGCACCATGCCCATTCCGCCCGAGGAGGATGTCGAGCTGCGCGGGGAGTTTCGTTCACCTCATCTGCTCACCTTCATGGTCATCTCGAGGTGCTGCTCGCCGGTGGTGCAGCTTGCGCTCAGGAGCTGTCGAGAGCGACTGGATGCTGGTCACCAGGCATGGCACTTCATCACGTCGACGTACCAGGCCAGAGACGACCTGTAGATCGGACAACTGGAGGAGAAGATGACTCACATTCGGATGGGCGAGCGGGAGTCGGCGACGGACTACTCCAACCGTGCTCGACGGATCCTAGCTGAGATGAGGATGGCGGGCGCCGAATACTCGACGGCGTCCTACATCACCCACGTCCTCAAGGGCCTGCCGCGCAGCTACAACCTCATGAAGAGGTTTACGATGGTGCCTCGCACACGTGAGTCCCTCCGCCTCGACAATTCCCAACCTCGGTGCCAGGCCTCGCGCCCCACTTTTTCACACATTACCGTTACCACTGTAGTTTCGCTATATATTCTTCGCTCATGCCTTCTCTCATTGTACTCTTGCTTTGATAGTGCAATCCTCGCTCGCTCACTCAATTGCGCTCGTAAAAGCATTATAACAACTCTTTTGGAGATACAATGTTTCGTTGACCTATAGATTGGAAATTAGTGGCGGACGCAAATCAAATCGCCGCCGCACAACTCGCGTGGATTTCGTTCAGTCAGCTTTTACTGTATTTCCAAAGCTCCCCCCACCCTCGCGGACCTGGTTGCTCGCACCCCTCCCAAACCCTTCATAAGGGCGTGTTGCATCTAGCACAAATACTAGGTTTTCTCGTACTGTGAAGTCGACTCAATTTTATGACGCGACCCTTCAAAATTTGACCCTCGAATAGCCACGACGAGACTGAGGGCGTGTAACTTTTTCCGTTAGGGTCCAAAGTTCGGACGTGGCTTCCAACGTCCGGACGGAGCTCCGTCCGGACGTTGGGAAGCACGTCCGGACGATGCCCCGCCCGGACCTCGTTTGTGACACCATTTGCATTTGCAAAAAAAAAAAAAAAAAAATCCTGCGAAATGTAATAGACATTCACGAAATTTCTCAGTACAGTTCGCTCGCAAACGATAGCGCAGCATGGTCGGACGGTCCGCTTTACCGTTCGGCCTTTTTGAGCAGCGTGGTCCGGCCCCAATCTGACGAAAAAGTGTCAGACACCGTCTGGACGATGGCGATGTCGCATGAGGCAATACGAGCTTATCAGCGAGCTTTTTCGAAAACAGTAACCTATCATAGTCCGGACGTGCCTCAGTCCGGACAGAATTTGTTCCACGCCCTAAGTAGGTCCTGGTGTAACCTATGTGGCTTTGGCGCTGTTCTCAATTTCGTCCAGCTGCCATTAGTGACCACGCGCAAATGTGAGTGAACTGAAGCGAACTCCATGACGTCCTTGCACACGCCCTCCCACGGAACTTTGATCCCTGTTGTTCTACGAAGCATTATGTCAATGCCCGTTTCCCCCCGTTCATTCCCCCTTTTTTGCTTCCTCGTCACCATCACTTTCCTCTCTCTCCCGCCGCTTTTTCCGTGCGCTGCCATTCCGCGCGCCATATGTCTTCCCCGCAACCACATCGAGTCATTGCGGCGGACGAATTTGAGACAGTCGTTGTCTACCTTCGCTGTCTAACAACTGAATCCTGCCTCCCTAGACAAGTTCTAGGCTGAAGTGGCAGCCGTCCCTCAATGACGTGGCATCACGAAGAAACGCGACGCTGTAGCATTGTGCTCGTGATCTCGACGCTCCTGCTTATAGCGTCGTCCTGCGCGCATACGGCAGGCGGATCAGGCGGAAGCAATGGCAGCGGTAGCATCGGCGGAAGCAGACGGGCAATGGCGCAGTTTCTGGCTGCCGGAGAAGCGCCTTTCCGCCGCCCCATGCGGTTCTATCCCACCATGACCGCCCCCACGGCGACGCGGGGTATCTTTGCCCAAGAACTATTACACAACACCGCCGCAATCAACCAACGTTGCCGGTCTCGCCGCTAACTCGTCATTTCCATCAAACAGCGCGGCTGGCGCTGCGGGAGATTCTAACTTGAAGCCGTTCGCGGGCCCGATAGGGATTAAGCCGTGGTGGGACAGTGAGCAGTGTCAGAGTAGTCCGCAGTACTGCGGGGTGATTCACGCGCCGATCAACGTGTATGTCATCTGGTACGGCAAGTTCACGGCGAGTCAGAAGGAGATAGTGCGCGCCTTCACGCGGTCGCTCAGCCCCAGATCGAATACCTCGATTACGGGTACGCCACGGCGCACCCCGTCCTACACATACTGTAACACCTCGCTACCCACTGGGTCAAAACGAGGGCTATATTTGAGGCGCAGCGGAGGCACTCAACCCTAACGTGTAAGCCCCACAGGCGTTACACATACTCCCCTCCTTACCTCCCTACTCTCTCATGCCTCCTCCCCGCAACCTCCCACCCACCACATGACCTTTACTAGGCACCAGCGGCCATGCGGTGAAGGGAAAAGCGTTATTTTTTAGAATTGTCAGAAGCAACACCACCACACATAGCTGGGGATGCTGCAGAACGGCCTCCCTTCTCCCTTCCCGCAACCTCCCTCCCTCCAGCACCGCATGACCTTAAAGCGCCAGCGGCGATGCGCTGAAGGGAAGAGATTCAGAACTGCCTACCTTCTCCCTCCCTGCATCCCCCCTCCCGATTGTTTAAAACCAGGGTCACTTGTGGAACACGTGTTTTGCAGTTGACAGTAAACGTTTGGCTGTGATTGGTTGGCGAGGTGAAAAGTTTGAAGTGGGGTGAAGCGAGGGGTGTGAAGCGAACCTTCTAGCCTCGCAAATCTGGTTCGGAGCCAAACGCAAAATACCCCAAACTCATCGAAAGTCACATGTACGCAAAACTTGTTTTGCAATTGCTCCTGAGGCAAAGTCTGGGTTGAGGTTCCAACCAAACCAGAGATAACTTCGCCTGCACTAACTAGGTAACCTGGGTTAAAAAAAAAAAAAAATGACATCCCTGCAGAGTCAGTGACGCCTCGTTCGCCCCCGTCTCACTTCACTCCCCCCTCTCAACCCCCACCCATCTTCCCCAATCCCTCCCTCCCCGGTCCCCTTGCCTCCCTAGGTTCTTCCGCGCCCTGGCCCCACATGTGCCCTACAGTGGAACATCAACTGCGCCCTTACCGACGTCTTTCCGCCCCAACCGCCAAGTTCCCCCCCCATCCCGTTCCCCAGTCCAACTTGCCTGCCTCGATTCTTCTGTGCCTCGCCCATTCTCTCCCCTCAACCCCCCCCTCCCCACACACCCCCCCACACACATCCCAGCTAGGACGGAACATCAACCGTGCCTCTATCAAGGTTCCCCCGACCCATCCGCCCTCTTCCCCTCCTCCCCCCTTTGCCTGACCCTCCTTCCCCTTTTGTCTGACCCTACTTCCCCCTTGCCCGACCCTCCTTCCCCATTTGCCTGCCTCCCCATTCCCCTCTCAGTACCCCTGTGGCGGAACATCAACCAGCAGCTTCCCCTTTTCCCCGGCCCCTGTGCTTGCCCCACTCCTTCAAACCACTACCCTCCCCCCTCCTCTCCTCCTCCCCCCCTCTCAGTACCTTTGTGGTGGAACATCAAGCGGCTGTACTACGACCGTGAGGGGCGTTTCATCTCCAGCTCCGTTACATTCGCAGGTGAAATAGATGACACGGGGTATTCCCGCGGCGCCCTCCTCAGCGACACGGAGACGGACGTGCTGCTGTCGGCCGCCATCATCGCCCAACAGCTGCCCTTCGATCCAAACGGCGTCTACTTCGTTCTCTCAGATGAAACCGTCAAGGAGGTGAGGTGTCACCCTGAGATGACACGGTGATTGACACTTAAGCCTGAATGAACAGACATGTTGAGATGAACATGGATTATGGAGGCGCCCTAGAATTCATCGATTAACTATGCTGTCAATTCAGATAGGCCATGCGCTTGAAGCCAATTCAAATTCCCCCTCTCCCTCCCCCTTCCCCGACCCCAACCGCCACTATCCAGTTTTCCCAGGGATCCGGTTTCTGCACCCGTTATAGCGGCCGTGACCGGCTTCATGTTTTGTGTCGACTCAATCCCTCCCTCTCCCATCCCCCTACCCCAAGTTCAATCCCAACCTTATATATTATCCCAGACCCCATTCCCGCTCTCCAACCCGCACCCCCCTGATCGCAGTCGTCGTACGAGGGAGCCGGGTTCTGCATAAACTACTGCGGGTGGCACACGTACACTGACGTGGAGGGCATGGGCCGCGTGGCCAAAGCCTGGTTGGGCAACGCTATTTCCCAGGTGGGTGACGCCAGTGGTTGTCTGTAGCTTCTGGCAAGGGCCACGTGGCAAGGGTCATGTGGCAAGGGTCGTGTGGTGAGCACACGAGTGAGAGCAAGTCAGGGAGTGAGTGAGAGGTACTGCAGCTGCACTGTTGTCTCGGGCAAGGGTCGTGTGGTGAGCAGCTGGGAGGTGCCATGGACTGCTGCTTTCTTGAGCATGGGCCATTGACTGTTGTCACAGGCTGATTCTTTCAGTTTGGGTTGGCCAGGGTGAGAAGATATGCTATTGTTGTCTCTTTTTGCTGATGGTGATATGAGACGCGGCATTGGTCCAATTCATCCTCACACTCCTTGCCCAAACGGGATAAGGGCGTAGACAGGCTGCTGTCCGTGCATGCTCATACGCACACCTGGTTCCCCACTCCCCCTTTTCCCCTCCTTCAAATTACCCCTGCAAATGCACATGCAGTGACTTTTGAGTCGACGCAAAAGCCACTCCCTCTTTTCCCGTCTTTCCACATTCCTGCCCTGTTAATGCCACACACAATGCCCTGAGATCTGCGTCACCAGCCTCATTTCAAGCTCGTCCACCTCGCCCAGTTGGGAAAAGAGCATGGATGGGCTGCTGCCCCTGTATGCACACACACACACACACACACACACACACACACACACACGCACACACACACACACGCACACGCACACACACACACACACACACACACCTGGTTCCACCCTCTCACCCTCCCACATGCACAGTGCCCTGAGTTTTGAGGCATCTCAAATCCCTCTCACCGTCCCCCCATGCACAGTGCCCTGATGGCTGCATCAACAACCTCATTTATAACTCTCCCTCCTCGCCCAACCGGGACAAAGGCATGGACGGGCTCCTCTCTGGTTTTGCACACGAGTTAGCAGAGGCGACTAGTAGTCCAAACCTGCAGACGTGGATGGACGACAATGGGAACGAGAACGCCGATAAATGCGGATCGGGGTGAGTACTGCTTGCTCAGGTTTCTTCTTCTTCATCCCCGATCCCTTAATTTTTCTTCCGTTTGTTACGCTGAGGTAATTTGCTTCTCTTATGCTTCTCCTCGCTTCCCAAAACATTCTCATTGCCAGAGTATTCTCTCAACAATGTATGCCATCATTGCATATCTGCACCACCAGGTTTGGCAAAGTAAAGCGTGATTCCTCGAGAGCTCCGTACAACCTAGTTGGTGCCGACGGTTACAAGTTCTTGATTCAGCAGAACTGGGACTTGACAAGAGAAGATGTGCAACCACTCTGCCCTACCCAGGCTCCACCTCGTCGCCTCCACCAAAAAAACCGCCTCCGCCGCCGCCGTCCTCGAGTGGTTCAATCTTTACTGAATTTCTGCAACTTTTGTGGAAGCTGCTTTTTGGCTCCAAACGACAAAGATAGCAAACACAACCACCGCCACCATCTTGAAACTGTACTATAATCCTTTGTCTACATATTCTGTGTTATGTTGTACAGTATGGTACCGGTAGTTGTACCGTATATCAAAGTTTGATGCCCACATCCAAAGTCGTGACTGAGGAACAACTCTATTGAAGCTACTATACAATGTTTCGTTGACCTACATATATGTAATGTTTGACACACCCCTATAGGCCAAGTGGGGGAGAACAAATGGTCACAAGACCAGTCAAGAGAAGAAGCAAACAAAGCTCGAGGTGGATCTCAAAATCACCACACAGAATGAGCACAAGCAAGTGGCCATAAGGCCAGTTCACATGCAGAGTTATGATAACAAAAACAGTACACTAAGAACAACATAGCAAGTGTAAACATGCAGGTCAAGAGACAAGCAGGTGAGGCAGAGTGGGCACAAGCCAAGAGCAGTGCAGAAACGCTGATGATCACCAGTCCCGAGGGTCTTGGTGAAGATATCGGCAGTGTTGGCCTGTAAGGCCAAGTAAGCAAGAAGAAGTTGACCACGCTGCTATAACTCCCATGCGAGGAAGTAACGAAACGCTATGTGCTTCGTTCTGTGCTCCAATCTCTGTTCCGGACACAAGGCAATGATGGCCTTGTTGTCGACGTACAGAACCGGAGGAGAACAAGGCCGCTCACCCAAGTCCGTCAGCAAATAGGTCCGCCAGCGTAACTTTTGTCCAACGATGCCCCCCGCGTAGATCTCAGCCTCACAACCCAAGCTGAGAACAGAAGAGGAGCGGGTGGACATCCAGGAGACAGAACCAGAGCAAAGACTGAAAGTATAACACTGTGATGACCGCTGAATCTCCTGGTCGTCGGCCCAAGAAGCGTCTGAGTGACCTGTGAGGACAACTCGACCCCGTCCTCCATGCACAAACCCTGTGCCTGATGTACTGGCCACGTAGCACATCACCCTCTTAGCAGCTGTCTTGTGCTCCATCCGGTGTCTAATGGGAGCAACGAAGCGGGCCAGGATGCTAAGAGGGCATGTGAGGTCAGGTCGAGTACAAATCATCAGGTACACAAGGCAACTCACAAGCTCTAGATGTGGACCACTCGGCTCTACGGACTCGTCCAAAGGTGGAGCTAAGAGGAGTGGGCTGTGGCGAGGGGAACGGATGGCGGAAGCGCTGAAGGACCTGATGCACCATGTGTGACTGAGTTAGGGTTATAATGTGCGCTGCTCTGTCCCAGGTGATCTGCAATCCAAGATAGATGCGCAACTCACCCAGGTTAGTGCAAGTGTGTCTCTTCTGCAGCTCCGCCCTTATAAGGACCAGTGCCTCAATGTCAGCAGTAGCAAAGACCAACGTAGTGTCTGTGGACTTCCAGGATGCCATCTTTGTGTCCATTGGTGTCTGCCACTGAGAGGAGTACTGACCTGAAATCGCCTCTGCGTAAGAGCGCGAGGTCGGGATGTCTAGTGCATCCGGGTCTCCCTTAGGGCAAAGCAGTATGGCAGCAAAATGAGATACGGCAGTCGCGAGGTACTCGAGCTCAAACTGCCTATCCTCAAGGATGTCACTGCCAAGGGCAAGCTCACCCCTGACGGACGGAGGACAGTTAGTTTTAGAAAAAAGACTCGCGAAGTAGTCAAGGCGGCAAGCAACAGCAAAGCCAACAAGCTTAGTGACTAAGGCACACGCAGCAGCAAAATCGAAGGAAGGGTTAGTGACAAGCGTGGCCAGGCAGCGAGTGACGGTCGGACTAGCAGCACGAGCAAGGTCGGACTCAGGGTCAGAAACGTCAGGAAGAGAGGACGCAGGAGGAGACAGGCATGGCAATACGTTGTGGAATATTGGAAGGACGAATTGCCATAGTGTGTGTGCCGCGGATAGGCGGAGGACGAACATGACGAGCACGATGAACAGTGCGATAAGGCGAGGTAGGATGAGATGCAGGCTCACGTCGTTCCATCAAGGACTCTGTCTGCTCATTGTTAGGAGAAGGAGCGGGCAGAGGGGAGTCAGGCAGTTATTGCGGCTGAGTGTGGTCGGGCCGTGGACACATTAGGGGAGGAGTAAGGCCACTTGAAGACGGAAGACTGAGAGCCTGCAAAAGCGCCGAGCAGGGTGGTGGCAGCGACGACTGCGGCTGCGGCCAGAAAAACGGTCGCCGCTTCACAGGCTGTGCAACACCCCCAGCAATAGAACCTCCAGTACCCCCGGCTCCTGTACCTACAGCTCCAGTACCCTCAGCTCCGGTACCCCAGCTCCAAAACCCCCAGCTCTAGTACCTCCAGCGCCTGCACCCTCACGCTCAGCAACCCTAGGCTTAGTACCTCCAGTGTCAGCACCCCCACGCTCAGCAACCCCAGAGTCAGCACTCCCAGGCTCAACACCCCTAGAACTAGCACCCCCAGAACCAGCACATCCAGAGTCAGCACGGCGTCCAACGACCCACTCACGCAGCTGCTACGGCGAGTGGGTCTCCTGCGGACACGACGGCAGCTACTGTTCATCCCCAGGCGCAGCACCTCCAGGCTTAGCACCCCAGGATCAGCACCCCGAGAACCAGCACCTCCAGCGTCAGCACCCTCAGAGCCCGCACCTCCAGCACCACCACCCCAAGCAGCACCAGAGTCCACAGCGACAGGCTGTAGAGGCGACGAAGACGGCCTAGGCGGAAAGCCAGGAGAGTTTTCCAAGCGTGGGGAGTGGTGAGAGGCCGCAATGTCATCAGCAGTAGGGTCACCCCCCTCAGCCAGGCCAGAGGAGACCTCCAAAGGCTAAACCAAGGGGGGTGGTATAACCTGAGAAACACCTGAGGGAGCAGGATGCGAGGGGTGTGGGGGTCTACCTGGGGGTTACCTGGAACCAAGAAGAGGGGTGGGGGGGGGACAGGAGAAGACACGTGGGGGAGGAGACGGTAGGAGAGAACCGACTCGTCAAAGGTGACGTCCTAGGAGGACAGGACACGACGCATGGCTGGGTGGTAGAACTGCCAGCCAGGCGCGTCAGTGGGAAAGCCAAGAAAGACGCAACGAATAGCGAGAGGAGAGAGCTTGCTTGCGGGAGGATCACGGACAAGGGCAAGCGAACCCCGGACCCGAAACGCCGACGCATCGCCAACCTCCGCCATCCAACACAGCGTAGGCGAGGTCTCTGGCTCAGAGACACGGTGCCAGAGGTTGAGCTGATGCGAGGCCATAGAAAATGGGGAGAAGCCGCATGGATCATAGAGGTGCAAGCAACCTCCACGACCAAGCCAATGCGGTGCTCAGCAATCCCATTCTGCTGCGGAGAATACGGAAGCGTGAACGACCGGGTGATGCCCTCTTCATGACAAATGTCCCCAAGGAGACCAAAGGAAAAATCACCTCCACGGTCAGAGTGCAGACAGAGTACTGTAGGTCCTGACGGAACCGTGCGCTCAGGTGGCGACGAACAGCGCGGATCCAAGGGATCAAAACAAGACGGGCGTCGCCCTTGTGCTGCAAGGGAAACACCGTTGTGTGGCGCATGTAGTCGTCAACGGCAAGTAGGAAGTAGCATTCCCGGCCCGACCCAGGGACAGGGGCTGGGCCCCACACGTCCATGTGCAGGGCCTGCAGAGGAGCAGTGGTCGGAGGGAACGAGGAGGAGTGAGGAGCGGCGCGCTGCCGCCCCTCGAGGCAGGGAGTAACACGCAAAGTGCAGCGAGTCGGTAGAGGTGGGGAGGTGGGATGACGGGTGCGGTGTGGATGGGGAATCACGGTGGCTCTTACCCTTTGTTGCGCCTTGCTTCACAGCAGGGTTTTTGTGAAAGTGTGGGAGGTTGACGGTTGGAGGGGATGAGGGGAAGCTCTTGTGTGTTTCTGTGCTTTCAATGCGGTGCTTCATCCATTGCTCCACACTTGAGCGCTCCTGACGGATGGCTCGAGGCTTGAGCGCTCCTGACAGATGGCTCGAGGCTTGAGCGCTCCTGACGGATGGCTCCAAGCTTGTTCACTGTGGGAATAGTTTGAAACTAATCAATATGGCACCCAAGTGCTGTGGGCCCTGCAACGAATGAATGGGTGAAGATATGCTTCTAGTGACGATAATTGAAAAGGGAACCACAAAAGTTGATTGGCAATGCAGCGCCATTCACACTCGAATGCAGACTTCAAGAAGAACCAGTTGAAACACGCCACACTTCTTTGCTCACACTGTGGCTACACATCTGTCACAAACCTACCACTATCCTCTTCCTCCACAAGCAAGTCCAACTTTGCATCTAGCGCATTCTGACTAAAAGCCCCCAAAAGCCCATCTCCACCCTCCCCTCCCTGTGGCTGTCGATTCCCCCCACCGCTGACAGATCGGGGTCTGTCACCATCCCTGCTTGTCCCTGCGTTGGCAGGAAGGGCTGAGCGCGGGTGGGCGGAGAGGGAGCGCTTGAGAGCCTTGATGGAGCGCAGCAGGTCGGTGACAGTGGGGCGGGCGAGGGGGTCGGAAGTGGTGCAGGAGAGGGCGAGGCGCACCATGGGCAGCACGATGGCGTCAGGTGCTTGGGGCAGGTGGGCGGCGCGCAGCTGCGCTGTTGTGTTGCGTGACACTAGGCGCTGTGCCTGCACAGGGATGGGATTTAAAAGGACATGTTGGGGCGGGAATAGGAGGAATGAACAGGAGGAGATGATGCATGAGTGTTTGCTGGGGACCCATAAAACTGATGGTATGCGTCGTGTGGCGTGGTGGCCACGTGTATTGTGCAGTAGCACGAAAAGAGAGAGAGAAAGAGAGAGCCAGTCACTCACCCAGTCCCGGATGTGCACTGAGCCTCTGCCACTAGAGTTGTAGCTTTTTGTACTCATGCTGCTGCTGCTGCTACTGCTGCCACCCCCGGTGCCAGAGCTGCTGCCTTGCTGGTCATCGCTTCCTGCAGCTGCACGCATCAAGGCGGGCCGGCCGGTGATGAGCTGCAGCATCACCACTCCAATGCTGCCACGCCGGGATGGGCGGATGCGGGAGAGTGAAGAAGAATGTAGGGGCGGGAGGAGAGAAGAGAGACGTGTTTGTCAATCAACTGAATTACACGTTAATCACGGCAAAAGCAGCGGCGATCAGCGGCAGAGTAAAATGTTCCTATCGAATTGTTTGTTCTGCATGAGGTAAGCTATAGGAGAGAAGGAGGTGGGAGAGGGGACGAGAGAGCGGACAGGAAGACAGGTAGAGGCGCGTCAGTTGAAAAGGTTGCAGGAAACACTGTTGCAACGGCTTGTCTGTGTGCAATTTAGAATCGTGAGCTGAGTAGCAGACTGCCAAGAGTTGAGCAACACGGACCTGTAAACGTCTGAGGGCGAGGTGCGAGCAGAGGCATGCAGGATTGGGTCCATGTATGCATGGTTGGCACGTGGCCCTGTGTCCCTGACCCTCCCTGCTGATGCCACCCATGCACTTGCTGATGTTGCTGCTGCTGGTAGCGGCGCTGGTGGTGGTGGTGCTGCTGCTGGTGGTGGTGGTGCTTTGTGGATGGATGGGAGGGGGTCGCCCATTTTCACGGCCATGCAACCAGCCAAGACAGGCTGCGGGAAAGGCATGGGTGAGGGGAAGCGGGAGGCAAGGGGCTTCAGCGGCGTGAATGCGGCGGGCAAGGGAAGGGAGAGACGCAGCTGATGGTGGATGGGCTGAGGAGGACGGAGCTGGGATATGGGAAGAAGCAGTGTGCGTGGCAGATCCGCCGAGTGTCACTGCACCTACGTGTCACTGCACCTACGTGTCACTGCACCTACGTGTCACTGCACCTATGTGTCACTGCACCTATGTGTCACTGCACCTATGTGTCACTGCACCTATGTGTCACTGCACCTATGTGTCACTGCACCTATGTGTCACTGCACCTATGTGTCACTGCACCTATGTGTCACTGCACCTATGTGTCACTGCACCTATGTGTCACTGCACCTATGTGTCACTGCACCTATGTGTCACTGCACCTATGTGTCACTGCACCTATGTGTCACTGCACCTATGTGTCACTGCACCTATGTGTCACTGCACCTATGTGTCACTGCACCTATGTGTCACTGCACGTGCATGGCAAGTGGCAGTTCACCCGCACGGCAGTGTCAAGCAGGATGTTGCGTGGGTGTATGCGGCCATGCACGACCCCATGGCTCTGGATGTGCTTCAGCCCGCGCAGCACACCCGCGGTCACATCCAGGCACTGCCACACGGTCAGAGGTGTACATCCCTCTGCATTGCGGGAGGACGAGGGGGGCAGAGGGGATTAGAGAGAGAGAAAGGGAGGAGAGGGGACATAAGGGACAGAGGGAAACATACAGAGGGGAACGAGCAGGCAAAGACGCAGAGGCATGGAGGGCGGGGTAGGCATGGAGGGCGGGGTAGGCATGGAGGGCGGGGTAGGCATGGAGGGCGGGGTAGGCATGGAGGGCGGGGTAGGGATGGAGGGCGGGGTAGGCATGGAGGGCGGGGTAGGCATGGAGGGCGGGGTAGGCATGGAGGGCGGGGTAGGGATGGAGGGCGGGGTAGGCATGGAGGGCGGGGTAGGCATGGAGGGCGGGGTAGGCATGGAGGGCGGGGTAGGCATGGAGGGCGGGGTAGGCATGGAGGGCGGGGTAGGCATGGAGGGCGGGGTAGGCATGGAGGGCGGGGTAGGCATGGAGGGCGGGGTAGGCATGGAGGGCGGGGTAGGCATGGAGGGCGGGGTAGGCATGGAGGGCGGGGTAGGCATGGAGGGCGGGGTAGGCATGGAGGGCGGGGTAGGCATGGAGGGCGGGGTAGGCATGGAGGGCGGGGTAGGCATGGAGGGCGGGGTAGGCATGGAGAGAGTAGGGTGGCGGGGCAGGGGGCCAGGCGTGGATGTACTTGCAAGGAGGCGTGGATGTACCTGCAAGGAGGCGTGGATGTACCTGCAAGGAGGCGGGTGTGCAGATTGCCTCCTGGCACCCAATCAAACACCAGCACCTGCTCCTCTGCTTGCTCCTCCGCATGACTGGCAGCAGCTGCAGCATCAGGACTAGCACTCTTAGCATTATCATCACTCGCACTCTTTGCAGTATCGGCACCACCAGCAGCAGCAGCAGGCGAGTGGTGGTCAAATGAAGTGCCACGCTTCTCCCAGCAATACCCCAGCAGTCGCTGCAGGTTGGTATGGCGGATGGCCCACAACATGGCCACCTGGGAAAGAACAGAAGCAGGCACAAGGAGGGGGGGATACAATGGCAAGTTAGAAGGGGCACAGCACAGCACAGCACAGCACAGCACAGCACAGCACAGCACAGCACAGCAAAGCACGGCACCGCACCGCACAGCACCGCACAGCACAGCACAGCACAGCACCGCACAGCACAGCACAGCACCGCATAGCACAGCACAGCACCGCACCGCACAGCACAGCACAGCACAGCACCGCACAGCACAGCACAGCACAGCACAGCACAGCATAGCACAGCACAGCACCGCACAGCACAGCACAGCACAGCACAGCACCGCACAGCACAGCACAGCACAGCACAACACAGCACAGCATAGCACAGCACAGCACAACACAGCACCGCACAGCACAGCACAGCACAGCACAGCACAGTGCGTGTGGTGGAGCTACTCAAAGCTCTCTCACCTCTATCTGGAAGCTTGCTGAAAGCTCCTCGTTGCCACGCCTCACCACGAACCACACCTGGCGTGCATCCACAGGACTTACTGCCTTGTACCTCTGCCCCCAACCGCTGCTGCTGCTGCTGCTGCTGCACCCGTGCTTCTCCACCCTGCTAGCGTCACTCCACCCACCCGTTGCCTGTGCCACGAGGGCCATGGGGAACTGTGGACAGCGGGCACGACTGAAGACACGGGATGCTGACGTGGGAAGGAAGGGGCGACGAGACGTGGGAAGGGAGAGTGAGGTGAGAGGAGGGAGATCGAGT